GAGAGAGAGAGAGAGGTTACACATTTCTTTTCTTTTCGAATGTGAGAGAGCTTACCTTAGTTTCCAGTCTTGCAATGCCACGGTAGAAGAAGGTGGAGGGAGCATGGGCAAAGATGCGGCGAAAGTTAGGTAAGATTGCCACTCTGAAGTTTATGAGTTGAGGAAACGTACCCCTTGCACTTCTCTCTGTTTTTTGTTTTGGTAAAACATGGAATGAGTGAGTTCATGCATACCCTTCCTTCAAGATGTAAAACGAGACATGACGAAAACATTTCATTACAGATTTTATCTCATGGTAAAACTAGGGAAGAAAACCATAGGAAGTTATCTGTCTCCCTCTCCAGTGTTCAAGCTATAACATACCACAGCACCAGAGGGAGGGACTTAGTTACTATTATGACAGTGAAAACTAGTTTACATTTGTAACTACAACTTTTCTTTCCAATGGAGAAAATGGTTAATAGTATTTTCAGCTAATAAACCACATTCCATTGGTATCAGTAGTGGAGGTTGGGAAGAATTACCAGATAGCAGAGAGCCAAATCCACAGATGGTGTAATATCCATCCGAAGATACAATTGCATCGAAATCATCTACTGTTATCATATGCGTGTAGGAACTGAAATCTGAAGCCATTTGCCAAGCCAAAAGAGAGAAGCGTTTGTTGGACCTTGACTCAGAGAGAAGTTGTTGGACCTGGAACCCATATGAATAATAACTTATAAAGGTCCAGTCCACTTGAGTTATGTGCCATCCTCAATTATTGAAACGTTGCCCCCAATAATGGACTTGTTGTCGTATAATATGGACTTGGTGGTCTCGGAACAAAATAGGTGAAATAAAAATTGTGAAAATAAAGAAAGGGAAGAAATGGACAAATGATAATGGTGCTGCCGGTTCTTTAGGTTTTATTTGTCGGCTATGTAGATGAACGGTGTAGGGAGCTACAGCCCAACTTCAATAAAAAGGATGGAAGCGCTATAGAAACCGGATCCTCAATGAATAGGCTAAAACAAATTTAGAAAAATTATCACAAATATATTTAATTTTTGGTTATTTTTTAAAAAAATCCTCACATTTCATAAATCTCTCCCATACCATTTTTTTTTTCAATTTTGACATAGAAGTAGTTGTAACCTCCTTGTAACAAAGATAAATATTATCATATTATACAATCTCGATAATAATATAAAATAATTCAATTTTATATACAAATACAATGGGATTGTATACAATGAGACCATTTACAAGGAGGTCACAATTACTTACAACCATTTGATGTGAAATCTAATAGCTTAGGTGTGTCATATACTTTAATAATTTTTTTTTTGAACTTTGATCTTGGTCAATGAAATAAATGCAACCACCAATTTCATATCCAATGGTCAAGATTAACTATGACCATCTTGTAACAAAGGTAAATGGTCTCATTATATACTTTCCCAAATATAATATAATAGACTATAATATGGGATTATCTACTAAGAGACTACTTATCTTTTATACAAGGAGGTCACAACTATTCTCACCCATTAGATGTCAAATTGGATGACTTGAGATAAGTTACAAAGTTCAAGAATTTTTTTTTGGAACTTTGTGTCTAATCAGTGATACTCTTGTAAACACCCATTTTGAAATATAAAGAGTAAGAATAATGGTGACCTCTTTGTACAAAGGGTAAATGGTCTTTTTGTAAACAATATCTTATGATATATAACGTCATGTGAGCTTCATGTCATATTAACATAATGTAATATGTTATATTACAATAGGGAAAAGTCTTTAAAATACCTATGAGCGAAATTGAATAGTGTTTCACCCTGAAACGACTCTTATAGAGCCATTACGGTTTTATCTTAAAAATTGCAACGACACTATGACAGTCGTTGCAGAATCCCACATTTTTTTGTGAAAAATTGAACGCATCGAAAAAATTTGGTGCGGTCCTTTAATCCACGTTGTCTGAAAAAATTGGACAGTGCCGAGCATATGGGCGAAAACATTGTTTATGTTCGCCTATAAGTGTTGTGTAGTGGCTTCCTTACCATATAGGATAATGTAATATATTATAGGATTGTCTACAAATAGATTATTTATCTTTTATACGTGAAGGTCACAATAATTTTGTCTTTTGAATTTCAAAATGGGTGGTTGCAAGAGTGTCATTGAATAAATAAAAAGTTCAATTTTTTTTTTTCACGAACTTCGTGGCTCAATCCAAGCCATCTAATTTCACATTTAATGAGTGGGAATGATTATATACCAAAAAACTGTTTAATATCGAAATTTGGGTGTTTTTGGTTTGGAGGGGGGGGGGGGAAGCGGGGTTGTCCCATTGAAAATTGAAAAAGTGAACATTTAGGTGAACCTTATGGCTGTATTATGTGTTTTGTCCCAGCAGAATGCTGATTCTATTATTTCACAATTGACATAATTACTAGAGGAGTTGGGCTGGGTCTATATTTCTAGGCAAGAAGATGATGACGTAGTTTGGGAGGAGGAAAGTGATGGGATTTTCTTTGTTAAATCTGCCTACAAATTATTCCATGATCATGTTTGATGGTCTAAGAAGAGTAGTAATATTTGGAAATGGCAAGTTCCTAATAAGGTTAAAAGTTTTGCTTTTAATTTTTTTTTTCGATTAAGTTAATGGGGGAGAAGGCCCCTAACCGTTTTTCACTAAATAAAAGTAGAGAAGATATAAATCATAGTATTACAATCATATCATAGGGCAATTGAGCCAAATCATTGAGACAAAGAAATGAAATTTGGTGGTCTAACACGCCAAACTGTAGTAGAAGAGAGAGATATCCCATTCTTGGTAAGTGTATTTGCTACTATGTTGGCCTCATGGTAGATGCGGAAATGCTCCACCTATGGTCTGAGAGTTTGTGACGAGTGTCGACAGTTGGCTACTACTGTGTGAAGTGTCTTTGGAGTCTTGCAGTGCCCTTGAATAGAGTTTACCAGCAACCATGAATCACTTTCAATTTGGAGAAAAAAATATTGGAGTTCAAGAGCTATATCAATGCCTACTTCGACAACATAAAATTCTCCATATATGCTTTGATATTTTGTTGACACCAAGGGATATGTAAGTTTCCATTATCGTCTTCTTTGATATATGAAAGTCCTAAGCCTTCACATCTGCTCACGAACATGGTTAGTTATATTTCTCAATAAATGTTCTCTCCTTGAAGCTTTGGTCTGGAAAGGTCCGTGATTGCATTCGTCTCATATGAACCAAACTGTGGTGAAGAAAAGGGATATCCATACATTGAAAAGCCCATTTGAGAGGATTTTAAAATTTTGGTTTTGTAAAGTGAAATTAAACAGGCGCGATTAGTAACTAGTCCTTTGCCTGTCATAAGAATCTCACAATTTTGTAATTACAACAGTAAAAGAGAAGAGGAGAGACCAGAGAGGATTGATGGAACCGGAGAATCTCAGTAACTATAAATGAAGGAGGGAGGAGGAGAGGATTGATTTGAGTTATTAAAAGATGGATTGAAAGGCGGTGAGGTTTACACAATTTATCCACCTTGAACAAATGATAAAAGAGCTTGAACAAATGATAAAAAGTAAGGTACACCTCCAAACTCTATCAATGTAAGGCATCAAAAACTTTTACAATGTCCTAGAAATCTATTTTAATATCTAATTATGAAATTTAAAGCTCAAAAAATAATATCGATAAAGCATATGTATAAACATTTTTTTTTTTTTGACAATGTTATAACTTTTATAAAAATTTTGAAATAGTTTGAAATAGTTTCTGTCTATAAAATTTGAAATGGTTTGAAATGGTTTCTGTCTATAAAAATTTGAAATAGTTTGAAATAGTTTCTGTTTATAACTTAAAGTTTGAAATAGTTTCTCTCTAATTCAGTGAACTGTTTTTATGAAATTAATTATATACTATAAACGGGATGTCTCTATAACATAGCAATCTATCTAGAAATCAATTTCGGAAGGTAAAGACAATGATATAGATTTTTTTACTTTTGGGTTGAAATGAAGAAAAAAATTACGGACGAAAATACATTTCAACCCCACTGAAATACATTTATGAAATTGTATTTCCAAACATCCAAACGGTTATAAAATACCCAAAATTTATTTGAAAAAAAAAAGAAAAAAAGAAAAAAAGAAAAAGAAAAAGAAAAAGTGTGTGAAATCCATTACGCTCGGCTAATTGTGGGATAACCATTGAGGGCTAATATATTACGCGCATCATTCGCCGGTAACGAAAAAACCCATCCCCGTATTTGCCGCGAAAATGTAAAGAAGCACTCCAAAAACCATTCTTCTTCTCTATTTCGCACCTCCTCATCTCCCTCTCAAGCTCGTCTCAAAATCTAGCATCACTATCTATCTTTTCTGGTAAGCCCTAACCCTCTCTCTCCTCTCTCTTGATTTTATCTGACTTTCTCCACATATATGAATGATTTCTCTCTCTAAATAAATAGATTCAGAATTCTTGCAAGCCAGCCAGCCTTTGCATTCGTCTCAGTAAAGCAAGCTCTACAAATTGTTGGTCCAAACAAACCTAATTATTATTGCCATGTAAGCTCTTAAACCATGTAACTCTCATTTCCTTTCCATTGAGAATCCAATTTGCTGTTAATTGTTCAGATGATAAATTCCATTGGCCATCACTTCGACTCTGGATTAAAATTCATCCATCGCTTGATTATGTGTGGAGTAGTTGCCCATGGTGGGAAAATGGAGAATTATCCCGCTCAATCCTTTTCTTTTTTTCCCACGGACTGTTTTTGTGTGTTTTCGTTCACATAAACAGTAAAAACCCCAAAAAATATATAATGGACATGGAAAACAATAAATGAGATTATCCAATGTTCATTGGAAAGATTTATTTAGTGACTTATCAAGATGAACTTCATCAAGGTCATATACTGATTTGGTTAAATTGAATTCCATTTCATTCTCATGATTTGTTCGAAATCCATATGAGATTGGGTTGTGCAGAGAAAATTCAATGTCATTTGATGGGGGACCATGAGCTGCTGTTGATTGATTGCAATAATTTCATTTCCATTTTCCACGAAGATCGGTGTAATATGAAAGCACTTTGAGTTTTCCGATACCATGCTTTCCTTAAATTTGTACTGCAATGAAATGTTTTTCTGGTTGGGATTATTGTATGCATTGTTGTACTCGCTAACCTACAACTACCTTTTGCAACCGGTTTGAGTCAAACCGTTCTCTTCCCTTCCTAATTTTGGGATTGTATGTGAATTATAGAATCCTAAAGCTATCTGTTCCTGAAGCTATTTGTTTCTCTCATATGTTTGGCTTTAGCTGTTGTTTTATTTGTTGAATAATTATTTCTTATTAGACGTGTGTTTTAGTTGGTTCTTGACAGTCTTATAATTGCCACATTGGTTTTAATTAGTGGTTCAATGTAATTGCAGCCACTGATAAGTCTGCCTTTCAGTTAGAATGATTATGTATGTTCACAGTTGGGTGTCTTGGTTGTGGCAGAGGCAGCTGTGCATCAATTTCAGTTGGGTGTCTTATTAGACTTGTGCCTTAGTGGATAAATTTCAGTTGCGGTGTATACTAGTCGTAGGTTATTGCCTTTGTTTTGTGGTGGTAGCTATAGTAGTCTTGGAGCCAAATCTATTGGGTGCCATTACATCTTCTCCATTATTTGGTTTTTTTACATTTCCCTCGTACAGTTGCCTCCAAATTTCATTTTGGCCCATGATTCTCTGTCATCAGATACCAAACTATCCATGAATGGGTTTTAATGG